CAGCACCCCCAGGCTCAGCACCCCCAGGCTCAGCACCCCTAACAGCACCAGAGTCAACAGCTACCCCAACAGGCTCGACTGCGTCTACCTGAGACACACCTGAGGGGACAGGACCCTGAGGGGGGAGGGGGTCTACCAGGGGACCTGGAGCGAGGAAGAGCGGCGGCGGGGCAAGGAGTGCAATGCGGTAGGGGAAGAGACGATAGTAAGGAACCGACTCGTCAAACTTGACGTCCTGGAAGGATAGAACACGGCGCGATGTGGGGTGGTAAAACTGCCATCCAGACGCATCAGGGGGGAAGCAAAGGAAGACGCAGGGAACAGCACGGGGGGACAGCTTTTCCGCAGACAAGTCGCGGACAAAAGCCCGAGATCCCTAGACACGAAACGCAGACGCATCGCCAACCTTCTTCGTCCACCGCAGGGTAGGGGAGGTCTCCGGCAAGGAGACCCGGGGCTGAAGGTTGATCTGATGTGCCGCGTACTGAACCGCGAACGGCCACAGAAAATGGGGAGCAGCCGCATGGATCATGGACGTACGAGCGACGTCCATGACCATGCCAATGCGGCGCTGAGCAATCCCATTTTGCTGTGGAGAGGCCGGAAGCGTGAACGTCTGGCGGATGCTCTGTGCACGACAAAAGGCTTGCAGAAGGTTACAGGAAAACTCTCTGCCTCTATCGGAGTGCAGACGCAGAACAGGAAAGTCCGAGCCGAAACTCTCTCTGAGCTGGAGACGAGCTGCGTGGATCCAATCGATCAACACCTCTGTGACCTCACCCTTGATGCGCAAGGGGAAGAATGTGGTGTAACGCGAGTAGTCGTCAACTACCATCAGGAAGTAACGCTCGTGACCCTGTCCACGGATGCGGGCGGGGCCCCACATGTCCAGGTGAAGTCTGTGCAGCGGAGCCTCTGTCACAGGAAACTCGGAAGAGTGAGGAGCGGCGCGCTGCTGCCCCTCGACGCAGGGAGCGCTGGTCAACCCCCCCATCCTGTAGATCAGCACCACTCACCAAGTTAGTAGAGAACGAGGGGAGGTAAAGATCTGACAGGGTGCCAGAAGAGGTCGCCGGACACGGTAAGACAGTGGAGAAGTGGGCAAGGTGAGGACCTCCGGAGGGGTCTGCCAGGGAGACTGCAACCGGTCGACTAAGCGGCGTGAGTGTGGTGCGGTCTCGAAAGAAGGAGCGGGAAGCACCCAAGTCAAGGGTGAAGGTGTGCAAGGCCTGAGCCGACGTGGTACGTGAGAGAGCAGACTCACCAGCACCTGGAGCAGCAGACGCACTAGCACCTAGAGTAGCACCCTCACTAGCACCTAGAGCAGCAGCCTCAATGCCTGGGTCAGGCGGAACACACAGGTAACAGTCACCCTCATCACTAGTAGACACATCATTCATGGCAGCAAGAATAGCATCATAATCAAGATCAAAGATAGCAACCCCGGACCTAAGCAGCTCGCCCCAGCGAGGGATCTCAGTAGCGTCAGGGAACTGGACACGCCACGCGTCCGTCAGGCGGCCGAAGCAGCGTTGGGTGGTGTGCGGGCCACCGCACGGCTCACCAGTGCGGTCGCCGGTACGCAGGACGTAGGCACACGGACCAGCACCCCCACCCCGCTGACGCGCAGCGTACCACTCACGAAGCTGTTGGGGGGGCGGGGTCTCACGAGTGCGATGCTGGTGCTGGCGCTGACCACCACCGAAGCCGCCCCGCTGCTCAGAGCCACCTCGACCAGCTCCACCGCCGCCGCCGCCACCGCCATCACCGCCGCTACCACCGCCTCCTCCGCTCCCACCGCCACCGCCGCTGCCGCCGCCTCCGCCTCCACCGCCGCCACCGAAGCCCCCACCCCCGCCACCACTCCCACCGCCACCCCCACCCCCTCCGCCGCCTCCACCGCCACCTCCACCGCCCCCGCCAGCTCCTCCAGCACCCCTGCCCCCCTTGCCTTTGCCATTGCGGCGTCTCCCGCTAGGGGCAGACGCAGCGCCGACCGACTCGGTGCCAACGAGGCCGACCGCAGCAGCAGAGGCAACAGAGGGCAAAAGGGGGGAGGGGGAGCACCCCTCAAAGAAGGGGGCACGAGGGTCACCACGAGAGGCTCCTACTGTGACTATACTCTTCTTAGCTGCCAGGAGGCGCTCCTCGAGGAGGTCAACGGTGAGTGTGGTGGGGCAAATAGAGAGGAGGTGGTCCCTGATCGAGCGAAGGGAGTCAGGGAGCCGGGTGACTAGGTAGTAGAGGGTGATGTACATTCGGGGGGGGGGTATTGGCGCAGAATAGAGCAGGAAGCGCAGCGCGGTAGCGAGTGTCACTAGTGCGTAGGTGCGTAATGAGGTTAGCGACTGTGGGAAAGGCGGCGGGGTCAAGGAACAGGTACGGCAGCAAGAGGCGACTAAGGGCAGCAGTGGCAGGGGAAGAGTAGCGTGCAACTACAGCGTCGTACAAGGTCTTAGCGCGTTCAGTGGAGAGCAGGTGACTACGCACAGCAAGATGGGCAGCAGCATCGCGTGTGGCCCACTGTGAGCGAACAGTACTGTCAACATCGGCAGCAGGGGCAGCAGAGGTGCCAGACGTGAGATCGAACAGTGAGAGACCATCATTTCTATCGCACTGCACGAAACGCTGCAGATCATCGACCCAGACCTTAAAGTCGACAGCTGGACCCTCAGCGTCAAAGGTGAGCACACTTGGGGTAGCCATGACAGCAGCAGCATCAGCACCAGGCTAGTAGTGGCAGCCGCAGGCTAGGAGCAGCTCAGCAGGAGAGGGGCGACTTGGCAGTGCTCTTACCAGGGCCGGGTGGGAAGAGGTCCGCAAGCGGTGGGGCAGGGCCAAGGGGCGCCGGCAGGGACAGGGCCGCGACGAGGCTGCAATGGAGTGCCGCGCCTCGGCTGCAGGGCAAGGCCGGGACGGCAGCGGCGGCTGTCACGGTAGCAGCGGCGGCGGCGACCGGTCGTAGAAGAAGCAGCAGCGGCAGCAGGCGCGACGGCAGCTGCTGCTGGGCCGGCGACGGCAGGGCGGCAGGGCCGTGAAGAGCCGGGAAGGGGCCGCTAAGGGGCCGCGACGAGCCGCGAAAGAGCCGAGGAGGTGCCGTGAAGGAGCCGCAAAGGGCCACAAATGGCCGCGGAGGTGCCGCAAAGGGGCCGCTAAGGGCGGTGAAGGGGCCTAGAAGGGGCCGTGAAGGGGCCGCAAAGGGCGTCGACGGGGCCAAGAAGGGCGGCAAAGGGGCCGCGAGGGGCCGCGAAGGGGCCGCGAGGGGCCGCGAAGGGCGGCGAAGGGGCCGCGAGGGGTCGCGAAGGGCCGTGAGAGGGGCCACGAAGGGCCGCGGAGGGGCCACGAGGGAGCCGCAAAGGGGCCGCGAAGGGCCGTGAGAGGGGCCGCGAAGGGGCCTAAAGGTGGGCGCGACGGGTCGCTAAGGGCAGGGGACGCGACGGGAGGGCAGGCGCACGGAGCGCGACTAGGGCAGGCGCGAAGCGCGCTCCGGGCAGGTAAAAAAAAATTCGTTTTAGTGGTGGGCCCTAGGAAACGTTCCCACTAGGGAAACTGCTGTATACCATGTGAAATAATGAGGAATGAATGAACAAGGAAAGTGTGTGATACAAATATGAAACCCTAGAAACCTGTACCCCTTAGTGTCTACCCCGCTAGAGCCTACAAATACTATGCCATATATATCTGACAATATGCATCATGGATTGCCAGTAACTTATCATTATTCATATCAAACTTAAGATATGTATTTATCATTTATCATATCATATATTACACAATATATCACATTTTATATAATATCATTTGATTCATCTACATTCACCAATTATTACATTCATTTTTTAATATGCATATGATATGGTAGTAAAGCACAACAAACTAAATCACAAAAACAACCTAATTGTCCAAAAAATCAATACCACCACGCTAGTATAAACTTTACTAGACAAGACCTCCTACATGTTACATAACTAGCAATTAATGCATCCAATTTTTTTTGCTTTTTTTTCATATTTTCTTTAAAAAAAATAGAGTGTTATGAGAAGAAACGAGGAATGATTGCATTGAGCAGCATGAGAAGTACAACTACAAAACCCTAAAATGTTGTACCCCATATGAGTTACCCCACTACAGCCTATACAGACTATAGTATATGAGTTTGAAACACACCCATAGGCAAAGTGGGGGAGAGCAAGGGGTCACAAGACCAGTCAAGCAAAGCAAGGCAAAGCAAGCTCACGGTGGATCACAACGTCACCACACATTCTGAGCAAAAGATCAAGGCCATAAGGCCAGTTCACATGCAACATTACATATATATAAGGCTAAACAAGCAAGAGCATGTGTATATATATATATATGTAACAGTTCAAGCAAAGTCAAGAAGTGAGCAAGTGAGGCAAGGTAGGTACAAGACCCAACTGAGTAAAGAGCGCTGATGATCAGAAGGCGCAAGTGCCTTGGTGAAGATATCAACAGTGTTGGCCTCAGAGGCCACGTACGCAAGGCGCAGCTGACCACGCTACTGTACCTCACGAGCAAGAAAGTAGCGAAGAGCAATGTGCTTCGTTCTGTGCTCCAGTCTCTGCTCTCGACACAAGGCCAGCATGGCCTTGTTGTCTACGTACAGCAATGGAGGAGAACGAGGCGGCTCTCCGAGGTCAGTCAGCAGGTAGGTGAGCCAGCGAAGCTCCTGTGCAGCCATGGCCACTGCGTAGATCTCGGCCTCACAACTGGAGCCGAGAACAGAAGACGAGCGGGTAGACCGCCACGAAACAAAGCCGGAACCAAGGGTGAAGGTGTAACCCTGTGACGACCGCTACGTAGCCTGGTCGTCAGCCCAAGAAGCGTCTGCGTGCCCTGTGAGGACCACTGGACTCTGCCCTCCAAGCACAAGCCCCATGCCCGACGTACTGCACAAGTAGCGCAACACCCTCTTCGCTGCAGCCATTGCCTGGTCTGTGTCTCCCAGGAGCAACATAGCGTGCGAGAATGCTAAGAGGTTATGCAAGGTCAGGTCGTGTGCAGGTCACCAGGTTCATGAGGCAGCCAACAAGCTCTGGGTACGGGCCACTCGACTCTACGGACTCATTCGAAGGCAGAGCTGAGAGCGAGTGGCGAGTAAATAGAGGAGTGGCCTGAGGCGAGGAGTACGTGAAGCCGAAGCGCTGAAGGACGTGCTGCACCATGTGTGACCAAGACAGGGTAATGGTGCGGCGTGCTCTGTCCCGGGTGATCTGCAAGCCAAGGTAGCTGCGCAGTTCACCCAGGTCTGTGCACGTGTGTCTCTTCTGCAGCTCGGACTTCATGTGGGCGAGTTCAGCAGTGTCAGCTGTGGCAAAGACCAAGTCCTCGACGTAGACGAGGATGTAGAACAGCAACAACGAAGTGTCGGTGCGCAGAAACAGCGACGGGTCGGCAGTAGAAGGAGCAAACCCAAGAGCCGCAAGTGTAGTCCTCAATGTGTCGTGCCACTCACGAGGTGCCTGGCGGAGACCGTAGACTGGCCGTCGGAGGCTCCACTGGGTGCCAGGAGGAAAAGTCCCAGTAAAGCCAAGTGGGCGGCGCAGCCAGATCTCCTCGTGCAGGCTGCCCTCCAAGAAAGCAGTGGTGAAGTCAAGAGAGTGCAGCTCGTAGTCACGGTGAGCAGCTATGTGCACCAGTACCCGAAGAGTGGTCATCTTTGACGTGGGAGAGAAGGTCTGAAAGTGATCAACTCCGTGCCGCTGACTGAAGCCACGAGCCACGTAACGTGCCTTGAAGACAGGCGGAGAACCCGGCTGCCGCTTCACCCTGAAAATCCACATGCCACTGACGTTGTTCGCCCCTGGCGAGGGAACCTCGTCAACGTAGGTGCTTGTGGACTTCCAGGAAGCCATCTCCGCGTCCATGGCTGCCTGCCACTGAGAGGAGTAAGGACCCTCTATCGCCTCCGCGTAAGAGCGCGGAGTCGGGATGTCATGTGCATCCGCGTCTCCCTCAGGGGTAAGCAGTACGGACACGAGATGAGGTGAAGCAGCAGCCAAACACTGGAACTCCTCCTACCTGTCCTCAAGGACGTCTGTGCCAAGGGCACACTCACCCCCGACGGACGGAGGATAGACAGACTCAGACTCAGCAACAAGACTAGCAGCATAGTCTAGACGACAGCGAGCAGCAAAGTCGAAGAGCTCAGTGACCAAGGCAGACGCAGTGGCGGACTCAAAGGCAGGGTCAGTGACAACAGTAGCAAGGAGACGCGTGACAGTAGGACTGGCAGCACGAAGGGAGTCTAACTCTGGGTCAGCAAGAGCAGGAAGAGAGGACTCAGGAGGAGAAGACAAAGGGGCACGCAGAGGAGCAGTGGACGGACGCAGAGACATCCGGTGCGTGCAAGGAACAGGGGAAGGACGCCGACGCGAACCACGACCACTAGCGCGAGCAGTACGGACAGGCGACGCAGGACGAGACGCAGGCTCACGATGCTCAGCAAGACCTCCAGTAGGATCAGCGTAGGGAGAAGGTGCAGGCAGGGGGGAGGCAGGCTCTAACTGTAACAGCGACGGGACCGGCGGTGGACGGTCTAAGGGAGGAGTACAAAAAGAGGGCGGGAGACGAAGAACCTGCTCAAGGAGCGGAACAAAGTACGGCCAAGGCCGCGCAGCGACTCCAGAAATAGCAAGGACAGCACCAATACCCCCAGTGGTAGCACCTCCAGCTCTACTACCCCCAGCAGCTGCAGGACCTCCTGCAATACCAGCAGCACCACCACCAGGACCACCTCCAGTAACGCCAGCAATACCCTCAGTGCCAACACCCTCAGCAGCTCCAGCTCCAACTGGACCACGAGAAGACGCAGTAGCTCTAGCTCCAGCAGTACCCGCAGGCCCAGCAGCTCCAGTACTACCAGTACGAGCACCTCCGGGACCCGCGGCACCAGCACCCTTAGCAGCAGGAGAACCTCCTGCTCCAGCAGCACACCTCCAGCGCCGGGCAAACCACTCACTTTCTCCTGTGGAAAGAGGAGCTCCCACCGAGACTAAGCACCCGGAGAACCTCCAGGCCCAACAACGCCAAACGCCACACGAGTAGGCTCAGCACCTCCAGGCGTAGCACCCACAGGCTCAGCACCCCCAGTCGTAGCACCCCCAAGCTCAGCACCCCCAGGCGTAGCACCCCCAGGCTCAGTACCTCCAGCAGCACCAGAGTCAACAGCTACCTCAACAAGCTCGAGTGCGTCTACCTGGGACAAACCTGAGGGGGCAGGACCCAGAGGGGGAAGGGGGTCCACCGCGGGGGGACCTGGCACAAGGAAGAGCGGTGGCGGGGGGAGGGACGGAGTGCGGTAGGGGAAGAGACGGTAGTAGGGAACCAACTTGTCAAACGTGACGTCGTGGGAGGACAGAACACGGCGCGAGGTGGGGTGGTAGAACTGCCACCTCGGCGTGTCAGAGGGGAAGCCAAGGAAGACGCAAGGAACAGCACGAGGGGACAGCTTGTCCGCAGACAAGTCGCGGACAAACGCTCGAGATCCCCAGACTCGGAACGCAGACGCATCGCCAACCTTCCCCGTCCACAGCAAAGCTGGGGAGGTCTCCGGCATGGAGACCCTAGGCTGAAGGTTGATCTGATGCCCCGCATACCCAACCGCAAACGGCCACAGAAAATGGGGGGCTGCCGCATGCACCATGGACATACGGGCAACGTCCATGACCATGCCAATGCGGCGCTCAGCAATCCCATTTTGCTGTGGAGAGTCCAGAAGCGTGAAGGTCTGGTCGATGCCTCGCGCACGACAGTAGGCTCGCAGAAGGCCAGAGGAGAACTCTCCGCCTCTGTCTGAGTGCACACGCAAAACAGGAAAGTCGGAGCCGAAACTCTTCCTGAGCTGGAGACGAGCTGCGCGGATCCAGTCGATCAACACCTCACTAACATCACCCTTGCTGCGCAAGGGGAAGACTGTGGTGTAACGCGAGTAGTCGTCAACTACCAGCAAGAAGTAGCGCTCTTGACCCTGCCCACGGACGCGGGCTGGGCCCCACACGTCCATGTGAAGCGTCTGCTGCGGGGCCTCTGTCGGAGGAAACTGGGAGGAGTGAGGGGCAGCACGCTGCCGCCCCTCGACGCAGGGGACGCAGGTAGGGGCAGGCCCCGGAGGAAGGGGAGGGAGGTACCGAGGGAGACCAGAGACTAGGACACGAGAGGCCATGCCTCGGAGACGAGGCAGGGAGGCGTGACCAAGGCGGTGGTGCCAGAGGAGAGTCTGGTGAGACAGGAGACGACACGAGCAGGGGGCAGATTCAGGACCTGACCTAGACGCTGCAGCAAACAACTGACCTGACGCAGCTATCTAACCAGACGCAGTGACTTGAGGAGACTCAGTGGTCAGTGTGTAAAGGCTCGAACCCGGCCGACAGGTAAACGTGGCCAAGTGTCGGCCCGTCAGAGCACACGAGCAGTGGGTCACTCGCTGGCTCGCAGGAGTGAGCTGGTGAACTCCCGCATCCTGTAGGTCAGCACCACTCACCAAGTTTGTAGAGAACAAGGAGAGGTAAAGACCAGACAGTGTGCCAGAGGGGGCCGCCGGACACGGGAGGACAGTGGAGAAGTGGGCAAGGACAAGAATCCCAGAGGGGTCTGCTAGAGAGACTGCAACTGGCCGACCAAGCGACGCGAGTGTGGTGCAGTCTCGAAAGAAGGAGCGAGAAGCCCCCGAGTCAAGGGTGAAGGTGTGGAAGGTCGGAGCCGACACGGTACCTGAGAGAGCAGACTCACCAGCACCTGAGGAAGCAGGCGCAGTGGCACATAGAGCAGCAGCCTCATCAGTACCTAGGGCAGCAGTCCCAATGCCCGGGTCGGGCGGAAAACACCGGTAACAGTCACCCTCATCACTAATAGTCACAGCATACATGGCAGCAAGAATAGCATCATAATCAAGATAGGAACCCCCGCCCTAGACAGCTTGCCCCAGCTAGGGATCTAAGTGGCCTCAAGGAACTCGCAACGCCAAGCGTCCGTCAGGCGGCCAAAGCAGCGCTGGGTGGAGTGCGAATCCCCGCACGGCTCACCCGCGCGGTCGCCAGTGCGGAGGACGTAGGTAGACGGACCAGTACCCCCACCCCGCTGACGTGCAGCGTACCACTCACGAAGCTGCTGAGGGGGGGGGATCTCACGAGTGCGCTGCTACTGCTGCTGCTGCTGGCGCTTACCACCACCGGAGCCGACCCTCTGCGCAGCGCCACCTCGACCAGCTCCACCCCCTCCGCCGCTACCTCCTCCACCGCCGCCACCTCCGCCACCTCCGCTCCCACTGCCACCTCCGCCGCCACCTCCGCCTCCAGTGCCGCCACTAACGCCCCCACCCCCGCCACCACCCCCACCGCCACCCCCACCCCCTCCACCGCCTCCACCGCCGCCTCCACCGCCCCCGCTAGCTCCTCCAGAGCCCTTGCCCCCCTTGCCCTTGCCAGTGCGGCGTCTCCCGCCAAGGGAAGACGCCGCTCCGACCGACTCAAGACCAACGAGGTCGGCCGCAGCAGCAGAGGCAATAGAGGGCAAGAGGGGAGAGGGGGAGCACCCCTTAAAGACAGGGGCACGAGGGTCACCACGAGAGGCTCCTACAACGACTATGCTCTTTTCTGCCGCTACGAGGTGCTCCTCGAGGAGGTCAATGGTGAGGGTGGTGGGGCAAACAGAGAGAAAGTGGTCTTTGACCGGGCGAAGGGTGTCAGGGAGCCGGGTGACTATGTAGTAGAGGGTGATGTACATAGGGGGGGAGTTCTTGGCGCAGAACTCAGCAGGAAGGGCAGCGTGGTAACGAATGTCACTAGTGCAAAGGTGCATAATGAGGTCAGCGACTATGGGAAAAGCGGCGAGGTCAGGGAAGAGGTACGGTTAGGATGAGGTGGCTAAGTGCAGCAGTGGCAGGGGAAGAGTAGCGTGCAACTACAGCGTCGTACAAGGTCCTAGCAGTCTTGTACTGACTAAAGTGTGCACGCTCAGCGGTAGGCAAGTGGCGGCGCACAGCAAGACGTGCAGCGGCATTGGGTGTGGCCCACTGTGAGCGAACAGTGGCGTCAGCATCAGCAGGAGGGGCACCAGAAGTGAGGTCAAAGAGGGAGAGACCGTCTGCCCTATCGCACTGTAGGAAAAGCTGCAGGTCATCTACCCAGACGTCAAAGTCAATGGCCCGACCCTTAGCGTCAAAAGCGAGGACACTGGGGGTAGCCATGACAGCAGTAGACTAGTAGCACGAGCAGCGGGCTAAGGGCAGTACAGTGGTAGAGGCGCTGCTCTTACCGGGCAGGCGAGACGGACCGAGGCTCACCAGCAGGAACAGGGCCGCGACGGCAATGACCGGGTGTAGCGGACAGGGCGGCTCGGACGGCTCTGCGGCTCGGCAGCAACAGCAGCTCGGCGGCTCGGGCGGCTCGGGCGGCTCGGCGGCTCGGGCGGCTCGGGCGGCTCGGCCGGAACGGCGGCTCGGCAGCTCGAACGGCTCGGCGGCTCGGGCGGCTCGGCTGCTGCAGGGAGAGTGGCGGCTGCTGCTGCTGTGACGCCGGTAGTCGGCGCTGCAAGAGGCGGTGACGGCGGTCAGCTGTAGGAGGCGGAGACGGCGGCCGCTGCTTGAGGGACGGCGGCGGCGGCCGCTGCTGCAGGGACGGCGTTGGCCGCTGATGAAGGGACGGCGGCAGCGGCCGTTGCTCCAGGGACGGCGACGGCCGCTGCTGTAGGGACGGCGGCGGCGGCCGCTGCTGCAGGGACGACGGCGGCCGGTGCTGGAGGCGGCGACGGTGGGCCGCGAAGTGGCCGTAAGGGGCTGCAAGAGGGGCCGGAAGGGCAGCGCGAGGGGCCGACGGGCGGCGCGAGGGGCCGCAAGGGCGGCGCGCGGGGCCGACGGGCGGCGCGAGGGGCCGCAAGAGCGGCGCGAGGGGCCGCAAGGGCGGCGCGCGGGTTCGACGGGCGGCGCGAGGGGCCGACAGGCGGCGCAAGGGGCCGAAAGGGCGGCGCGCGGGGCCGTAAGGGCGGCTCAAGGGGCCGTGAGAGGGGCCGCTAAGGGCGGCGCGATGGTAGGGAGGGCACTCGGGGCGCTACTCGGGCAGGAGCGAAGCGCGCTCCGGGCAGGAATATTCGAGGTGGGCCCTAGAAAGCGTTCCCACTAGGGAACCTGCTCTGAAACCATGAGAAGAAACAAGGAATGATTGCATTGAGCACCATGAGGAGTACAAGTACAATACCCTAAAGTGTTGTACCCCATATGAGCTACCCTACTACAGCCTACACAGACTATAGTATATGAGTTGGACATGTTAAAATGTGAAAAAAAAAACTGGCCAAATCGATCGTAATAGGTTGCTTCGCAACCCAAAAAACCTCTCCAAGACTAGAATCTGAGCTAGTCGGAGGAGTCTACACGCGCGACGAGAAGCTAGCATGCCGACTTTAAGCGAGGCCTCCCGCACTTCCTTAGATGGTGTCGTCATGAATTCCGACAAATTCTAGACAAAAACTGCGACGGTATTTGACACGTCGGCGGCTCCAATTTTCACAGGACATAAATTTTCCGCGTGGAAGTTAGAGTTCCAAATGCGCATGATGAAGCAGGTTTCGATGGAACGGAGAAGAAGCCAATGACAAACGAGGACAATATCGCGGCATGGAAAAAGAAGAACCAAGAGGCATTCGCTACATTGATTTTGCGCATCAGCATCATCCTCGTGAGCTTGATGCGTACGTGCATCAAGTTCAAAGCGTTGATGCATGAAGTATGAAAGCTGCTCGAGTCGATCCACGTCAACAAGACTCTCCATCGCAAGATCCTAGCCCGGCAAGCGTTCTTCATGGTGAAGTGGCGCGGGGGCGAATCGATGCACGAATATACGACTCCTGAGGAAGAACTCGGAGAAACGTTTATGGACCTCTGTGGAATGTTTTTGGAGACGGATTGGATTCTAACCTTGATGTGCGGCCTTCAGAAAGAGACGTTGCTTATGACACTTGAAGGCATGCAAGATACATGGATGGAGGAAATGGTGGTCACTCGGCTTTTCCATGAGAAATCACGTCACCAAAAATTTGCTAATGGGAGAGTGAAGACTTCCATGTTCTCCGGAGGGAGTTTTGGGAAGGCGTCAAACTGGAGCAAAGGTGCGACGAAGAAATCGTCCGGCGGAAGTGAGCATTGTGTTATAGTCACAGTAGGCTCCAATCTGCCTAAAACGAAAGATAGAGTGCATAGTCGGATTTCTGCACAGCGGCTTCAAACGTTCATAGCGTTTTGGTCACAACATCAAATGACTCGAGTCAACTTGGATCTGGAGCGTCATATTCTCGCCTACACTAGGCAATTTAGATCGCACAATTTGACCAACTATTGACGACACAGCGCCGGTTTGAACGAACGGCACTATGGCAGCAACATAGTCTTAGAATACAAGATAGGAAGAGTTCGGAAGAGTTACGAGTTGGGAATGACTCCCAGCTCCTACAAACCCCAAGAGCCGAGGTACAGTGATGTGGAACAGTGGCACACTGTCCCCAACCATGAAGGGTCTCGAAACTACCCTTCACTAGGGCCTACACCAAGTGAAATGTTACACTACACAAAGTAATGTAACTATCTTCAATATCTTGAGGTGTACCCTTTTGGCGAGCTTCGAAATCACTTGAGGCTTGACACCAAGGCTCGGGCTCTTCATCACAAACTCATCCTTGAGTTCTTGATGGGTCTGCTGCACACACCTGCGACACACCGAACGTTCGACATGGGACACAATAGAAACCGCGCACGACAAAAATAGAAACCGCGCGCGAGACACAAACGACGGCGTAACACGCGTCTAGCGATAACTCGCTATTGACTCAACAAACACACTCGACATCATGACTCGACATTCACACACAATTATAAGCATGAAATATATATTATCTCATGCCCTCATACCATTCCATACACACACACATGCACGCACACGGACAACAAGCCGAGTGCAAACCGTAGGGTTGCACCAACAAACTCCCCCTCGGATTGTTGGCCTTAGGATATGTTGCTCTCCCAGTTCAGAGCCATCCCAGCCAGCTTGCAACACTTCCAATGCTGCTGCTCCACCAGCCTCTTAGTCATCATGTCAGCCGGCTGCCCCGTGGTCTTCACGTACCGCAACTCAACTTCACCCGCGGTCACCATGCTCCTCGTCCAATGCCACTTCA